TTCTCCTCCATTCTCCTCTCGGGATCTTGGGCATGCACGCACACACGCCCGGCATGAGTTTAAGCCACGGGGTCTGGGACGCGAACCGCGGTCGACTACATGGGAGTCCAGCGACATAGCCATTACGCTAACTGCTGGTCCCACAAAATTTCAAAAATATATATTAAGGTGAACGTCCAACAGCCTCTGTACCAACCTGCTTATCAGGAAAATGCAGGACTAGCGAAGGCCCATCCAGCATCCCGTAATCCTGCCCAGCAGCTAACGCCCTCTCTGGGAACTAACCTCTCTTCCCTCTGATCCATCCCCTACTCCATACCCCCAGGTCTGAGTAACATCATTGGCATCATAGTGTACATATCTGCCAACGCCGGGGACCCCTCCAAGAGCGACTCCAAAAAGAACAGCTACTCGTACGGCTGGTCCTTCTACTTCGGGGCCCTGTCCTTCATCATCGCCGAGATGGTCGGGGTGCTGGCCGTGCACATGTTCATCGACCGGCACAAACAGCTGCGGGCCACGGCCCGCGCCACGGACTACCTCCAGGCCTCGGCCATCACCCGCATCCCCAGCTACCGCTACCGCTACCAGCGCCGCAGCCGCTCCAGCTCGCGCTCCACGGAGCCCTCACACTCCAGGGACGCCTCCCCCGTGGGCATCAAGGGCTTCAACACCCTGCCGTCCACGGAGATCTCCATGTACACCCTCAGCAGGGACCCCCTGAAGGCCGCCACCACGCCCACCGCCACCTACAACTCCGACAGGGATAACAGCTTCCTTCAAGTTCACAACTGTATCCCGAAGGACAACAAGGACTCTCTGCACTCCAACACAGCCAACCGCCGGACCACCCCCGTATGAAAACGCCGGGCCTCGCCAGCGCCACGTGGGCGGGCAGGGAGGAGGGTGCGACCACGCGGAGGAGCTGGAGCCGGGGTGGGGGGAGGGCGAGGGATCCAATCCATGGGGAGACCTTCCAAAAGCAAAAACAAACAAACAAACAAAAAAACAAAAAACAAAAAAAGAGAAAAATGTAACAAGTAAATTTAAAAAAAAAAAAAACAAATATAAGAGGAACAACTAAGCAAAACAACAGAAAATGTGAAAAACTAGAAACAAAGGAAGAAAAACAAACTTTAAAAAAGCGAGAGGGATAAAAAATTAAAAATAGAAAATAAATCTAAAAGCAAATGCATGATTTCCCATGTACCATTATTTTAACATTTAATAAAAACCAATTTAAATGAAAAAATAAAAGGGAGCCAGATAACGTTAAAGCAAAAAATGAGAAGGAACAGAAAGGAAGGGGAATGTCCTTTGTATTTATCAGGGTTTTGTGTTGCTTTTTTTTTTTTTTTTTAACGCCGGGAGAGTTACTTTTCTGTTCCCTTTAACCCCCCAGCAGGCCCTGCCTCCCGGGGAGAGTGGGGGGTAGAGATGCCGGGGCCCAGGGGGCCAGGCGAGCCCCTGGGTGGGTGCCCAGGACTGCTGGGAAAGCTCAGTGGCTCAAGAGCCAGCTGCCCCCAGCATCAACGGGGTAACTGTAGACTCCAGGCATCTCAAGTACGAGGTACCTCCTGTTAGGTGCCTGGAGAGGGGTACACTTGGGGCTTGCCTGCCCTGTTCCCAGTCCTTAATGGTCCTAACCCACTGTGATGACTTCCTAGGCCTTGAGGAAAGGGAAAGCGCAGCCAGTGGCTTCCCGAGGTGCCGGGAACCCCGGAATCCTCAGGGTGAGCCTTTTGGGGTCACTACCCCCAAGCCTCCATCCTTGGGGCCAGGAGATGTCCACCCCCCAGGGGACATAAAGCAGCTCTCCCTCACCACCCCTCACCCCAGGGCCACCTGCTGACCCTGGGGTGATAGTGAAACCCCCCCAGACTTATAGGCCCCCAGTCCCCTGGGAAGGGGGTTCATTGACCCTTTGGGGGTCCTTGGACTCACTGATGCCCCCTAGGGGCCTAGTGGGTCCAACAATGACACTGCAAAAAGGTTTCTTTTTACAAAAGAAAAAGGAAAAACAAGTGGTGATTTTTTTTTAATAAAAAAACCACAGACTATAAATAAATGTAAATATATAATAAGTGGATTTACTTGCAAGAAAATCAGATAGTATTTTTCTTTTAATTCTTTTCCAGCTTTAAACTGTGAAAACAAAAAAATGGGGTGGGTGGGGGACTTAAAATTTAGCAGGGAACTTGTAAAGAAAAAAAAAAAAAGAAAACAAATATACAAATCCATTTTAAAGAGAAAAAGTAAAATCTGTTGTGAGAGCTCCGAGCTGGGCTGAAAGCTGGAGGAGGGAGAGGAAAGGCCCCAGCCAGTTGCAGGAAGTCTCTGTGGTGGAGAGATCTCTTCCTTATACCAGGAAGGTGCTGCTAATGTGGAAGAGAGAATTGCGACTGAGAAGGAGACCGCACGCCTCACTCGCACACACGCACCCACATGCACCAACAGTCTTTAGGGCCAGCGCCACAGTCGCTTATAGGGATACACGCTCATTCTAGATCCTTCCATCCCATACATAGCGGGGAGCATGGCTCAAAGAAAACCAACCCACACCCTCCAAAGCCATGAACAATTCCATGTTGGCCTTTATGTTCACACGTGCCCTCCTACCGCACACACACCCCCCTACTCACAAGCATGGACAGGGTGCCAGCCTTGAACCCAGACTGAATTCTGGAATTCCTTGCCGCATGGCCTCTCTGGGCCCCAGCTTTCCCCGTATGAGCATGCGAATCCACCTGGATGAGCGCCAAGGCCCATTCTTGTTCTCCGTTTCTGTGACTTTTAAGATCTTTCAAGACTTTCTCAGAGGAAACTGCCAGGGACCATCAAAACAGCTGGCATCCAGCCCCCAACTTTGAGAACAGGCCTAAGTCACCTATCGGCCTCTCGGACACACACACAGACGCACGCACACTCATTCACACACACACATCCCATATACCTCCTCACTGTGCTCCCCAACCCCTGCCCCCACATCCAACGTCAAAGCAAAAACACATGTGAACAAATGTAGCCTGCCATTCGAACAAAGAGGGAAATGACCCAGAAGTCCCCAAAGCCACTCTTCATCTTGTGTCCCCTTTCTTTAATGCCATTGCCTGGTCACAGAGACTGAAGGAGGCTTCCTTGAGAGAAGAGACCAGTCATTAGGTTCCCCCACTATTTAGGGGGTCAACGAAAGGAGGATCCTCCGAAGTTTGCAGGGAGGGGTTAAGGCTGAGGGGTTGGGGGGGGGGTCTTTGCAAAGTGCCATCCCAGGGTGAGGACCATCCCCGCTAGAGTCCAGGGACACCCTGTGTTTCTCCCCCTTTCTTCCCCAGAGCCACAAGGGCCAGTCCAGACTTGAACAAAATCCAACAGCTTTCCCGAGCTGGAAATTTCAGACCAGCCTGTGAGTCACTCTGCTGAAAGTGAAGAACCCTGGTGCCTCCATCGGAGAGTCCCACTGGGTTTGCCTCTTTCTTGACAATGGCCTGCCCTGAGGTTTCTGAAGCTGAGCTCTCTGGAGAGTTCCAGAGAGTGGCTAGCAAGGCTTTTTAAGCTTACACGATCCCAGCTGCCCTTCCTGTCTTTTGTCTGGGAAGGGAAAGTTCTTTTCCCAGGTCTGCAGCAGCTGGAGCTCTTACTCAGCCTGAGGCTCGAGGCAGAACATCTGCCAGAAATAGACAGGGAGGCCACTGGCCGACGGCAGAGCATGGGGCCGAGTCCAGGTGGGATGCCAACCAGAATTTCTCAGCCTGCACAGAAATTGTCATCTATCCCTCCCCCACCCCAGCCTTACACAAGCATGAGTGGCTCAGGGACTAGAGAAAAAGAGAGAGGCCCCAAGAAAGCAGCAAACAGGCAGGCACTGTATAAAGAGGAAGCTGGCCCCAGTTCTCTGAGTTCTGGCTGAGTGTTTGGGATGGCCATCAGTGCTTCTTCTAGGCTGTGAGCCTGGAGCCTGGGTCTGTTGAGAAAGGCCATCGGGGTTTGTGGTGACACCAGCATGGCCGGGAAAGGGCTAGGGGATCCCGAGGGGAGGAGCTGGGACTGGGACTGCAAGGGCGCTTCTTCTCACGGTAGACGATGGCTCATGTCCAGCTCAAGCCAGTTCAAGAAACCAACCTCCATTTTATTTTCTTGGTGGGTCCTTTTTTTTTCAGACTGTTAACAGAAAAAAAATTTTAAAAAGCAGAAAACTGAAAAAAAAAAAAAAGAAAAA